TTCCTTGCTTAACATCATCAATGGCGATGCGAATAGTCGTTCTCTTGCTGATTATACGTGTCCTTGTTCCGTTGCAACTGACTCTAGAACGCAAAATACTGACGGAAACCTGCTCGTATGACGATTGCACATTTAACGGATACCTACGCCTCGAATTTTGCCTCTGCCTTTTCGACTGCGAACGTCGCATCACCAATTGTGAGTGTCCTCGCGACAAAGAACTCAGTCGTCAAAACAAAATCTATGACAGAATCGTCGGAGCGTGGAACGTGCGCGTAAGTTGGTGCTGACTATGACAGCACGTGTCATGTTTTATTCAAAAAAAAGACGACATAAGTACAGTATGCCAAAAATCTGTGTAACATCACTTGGCGGAATTCAGCATGGCTACGTTATTTAGACCAAACAAAAAATTGGTTCTTCTCTTGCTTTTCAGTTTTCGATACCGGATTGAAGCGGCGTATACACCGCCCCTTGTCACTAGTGGCCCAGGATACCATTTAGGCAAACCATGGCTACATGGTATTTGAGCACCTGCGGTACCTGGATGCAGAACCGCATCGCTAGGCAGGGCCAAACTTCTGTTGATTCGCCTGTTCAATTTTTTCATTCTCTTTCATGATCGAATAACCGACTCATTTATTCATTGATTCGTTTAGGTTTTCATTCATTCATTCAAATTCCACGCACACTACGCCAACTTAAGTTTGGCATAACTGAGTCAAGTAGTTCACGGCCTTCAACTTCAGCATCTACGAATGTACGTAGATAAAGCAGGTAGTCGGCAAGGCACTCGTCGACTCTAGAACCAGCCGTGAGGTTGATATACTTGAGTCATTCATCGGTTCTCAGACTTCATATCCGCGGTTTTCAGAATTTGTCAAGATGCCCCTCTTCTGACACTCTAATCACATTTCATATCATTTTGAAGAAGAATGGCTAACAAGCAAGGACACTGTGGACTGTGGTGTTCTAAATTTTGTTCGGCGTAAAGGAACTCATTTCTGCATCTGACGATCCTGAACGCGCAACTGACCAACTTGAAACTGTCATGCTTTCCAGTTAGAGAGCCGTGAATAGTGAAGCGTGATGAAGCACATGTTTGCAAGACGAAGCTGAACAGACAAATTGTCGCCAAGGGCTTATGAACGTCTTCTCACGTTCTTATGAAGATTTGATTAAGAGGAAAATTAACTTTGAATTTTGAACTCAGGCGAGAGGATTAACATCACCGAATCCATTCGCACAATTCTCACTGACAACAGAGGACAGCCAACGCTGATATCACTGTTGAAACACCGTATTATCAGAGACTTTCCAGTGCTACCGTCTGTGGGCATAAACTTCATTACAGTTTATGCAAGCTGTACAATCAGTACATGTTAACTATCAGAGTAATCCAGTGTTCAGGGCAGCTTGAATATCTCCGTCGATGCAGTCCTTTTTCATCCCCCCTAATGCAAGCAGCCAAGTAGTTTCGCGAAAAGGAAGCTGAAAACTATATGCTACTGCACAGCTGTATGCACTGTCTTCAACAATAGAACCTGTGACTCATGGAACTGAGCAGGGGTATAAACTTTAAAACAAATATAGCATTTACTGTAGCACCGTGTGGGAGAACGACATACAGCTGTTGCATTGTTATTTTCCGGGTTCAACGGGAAAGCTCTGAGCCAAGTTAAATACCTATCGCGCTGAAGTAAATGAAGTGGCACCATCTAGTGCAAATATAATACGCCAATATGGTAAAATATACCCAACCTTCTGGGGTTGCTAGAAACCTACTAATTTTCGATGTTGCCTGTAAAAACAACAATCTCCTCTCATTTCTCCGGACTGATAAAGCGTAGTTGCACCGTTCCCTTGCGTAGTGTCCTACGGGACGGTTTAAGCAAGCCATGGGACTACGGCGCATGAATCAGAACAACAGGTGACAACAGATCATCATCATGCGTAACTGTTGCACACTGTTATATGCACAGAGCCCTTTTGTCATCTTGACTATCGACAGTAACGATGCTATTTAAAAGCCGGTTTCTAAACATAATCATAACACGTATTTTCGTGTCCTCAATCACTGAGTAAAAAAGGTACATAGTGAAGGTACTACATAAGAAAGAGCTGTTTATGGTTTGCATAGTTTAATAGACGTGAAATGTCATTGATCAATTGATCAGTCCTTTTTCAGATGCCTTTCGGAGTGTGCGCTTATGTTGGTAGCGTGAAATAGCGAAGCATCAGGGCTCAGGATGTCTGCCAGACAAATTAATCGCTGCTGCAGCTGATTTCAACTTTCTTTCGGCACTGATGGTATAATATTTATTGGTAGCGGAATAAAGTAATCCGGATCGAACTTTTACTTCTCAACATTATGTATATATACGAGTGTAATTTTTGAAACTCTGTTTCGACCGAAGACGATACTGCGATACTGAAACATAAAGCGATAGGTAGCTGTCATTTAAAATCTTTTCTGATCGCTTTGACAGTTAAGATCTAGAATCTCTTCAAAACAATGAGGAGGTCCGTAAAAGTAAGTTAAAGGAAGTCGCTTAGGTTAATTTTTTTCTGTTCTCATCGTCGTCGAAGGCTAAGAAAGTTTAAATAGTCGGGTAACAGAAAATAATGTTTTATCATTAGAAATGGTTTCTCAGACTGATTTTAGGCATTATGTTGACTGCAATGACAAACCTTCATATTCCTTGTCGCAAATGCAACTGTTTCAAGTAGATACTTTTCCATTTTTTGAATTGAATTGTGGGCCATGCGTTTATGATCAGTAAATTGTTTCGACAGCAGAAAAATTCTGGCTAACATTTGATTCTTCATTCGGGCAATCTTAGGAAGTCAAACCAGAACATCTCTGACTTCTGCTCATGATCTCATGATTCTTTAGACCGCTGGTCATCAGCACCTGATCGATTTTGTTGCTGAACAGATGATGCAGAGGTGATTAGGGGTAGCATATAAGTATTCGAAAGATTTTACAAATGTTCTTAGTCGCCTGACCGCGCTGGATTTGGCTGTGAACATCTCTTTGAACAGTTTACATAAACAGAACGTGACTGGTTCGTGAACTTTACCACAGTCACAACTTTACAATACCTTTACCATAAAGCACCGGTGAGTGTATGGCAGAAAGAACAGTTACTCTACGAAAGCAGAACAGCCGCAATTTTGTTATTCCATGTTACATGCCGATTTATTGCTTGACGTCTGTCGTGTTTCGGCGCTCTCACACGAAAAGCTGATGCGTTAGAGTAAATGGATATAACTTGAATCGGTATGCTTCGAGAGAAAATCCCGTTTTGTTTATTTCCACGTCCACTGAGACCACTGTACTGCAAAGATGCTCCCGTCACTCTACAGGCGGTCATGCAATTTAACCCTCATCACGCGTCGTTGCTGCACGCCGTTCAACCGTCCCCGTTGTTGTTCCTTTGTTTAAACAACCGCCTCTTTACCTGGTAATAAATTAAACACTAATGGCAATAGTTCGTTCTGAATGTGGCTTGGTTCAAGCGGGAAGTGAACCATCGTTTTAGTCTTGAAAACATGTTAGCCTGGACAATGATGCGATGGCATTTTGCCTCTTTTGCCGGAAGAAGTGGTCAGAACAACGCCCGTATTGAGCGCCAATAAACGAAGACCTGCACGACAGGTACCCGCATCATGAAGCAAGAATTCTGCCGACTAGTGATAACCATTCAGGACGAAACCGACTTTCGAAAAAGACCGCTGAACCTGGTTTAGTACAGTGCGATATCTGTTCTCATCACCGGGCTCAATGACGAAGTTATTAGCTCGTCGGCGAATTTAATGCATGCTTACTGCTTTCGGTCAAATAGAAACTGTTTTGGCCAGGCAACATGGAGGGACTGAACGACGATTAGGCTGCCTTTCATGCCAGCTGGAGATTTATTAGAAACATACCGAAAAGCAGTCGATCACCTGTAAATGCTGGCAACACAACGCGATGTATTCATAGCCGAAATATAATTGGAAAACAAACGATGGATCGTCGTCGCTTAGTGTACTAAGCCACTGAACGTTCAGTATATAATTTAAGGTAATCAGAGCAATGCTTTGGACGAGAATCTAGCGTGGACAATGGAAATTCTACGCAGAACTTAAGTGCAATACTCTATACTAAACTATTTACGTATCTGCTACCGTCCACTGTAGTAATCCATCCATACCGGCATGGAATAAAACTAATCTGCATTCAGTCCAGATCGATAATGTGTTTTGATCGCATTACTCCTTAAGGTTCAGAAGACGTCAAAACCAAGCTATAAACTAAAACATGCGGTAATGCAAAGGTCTAGTACAGAAGTAGGTTTAGCAATAATCTAGTAAACCCGCTATATTACTGATTTGGAGTGAACCGAAAATCATTTTCAATCTATATCGGCATGACGGATCACCACTTTTGACTGTAACACAAATACACTATAGTTATGTACTATACATACTTACACAGTATATAGGTTCGGATACCTGGTTGTGTGAATCATCTGCATATGCGGTGCCTTCAGAGTCTCTTCAGGCGCAATTTCATTTTTAAACGACAGTTCCTCAGGATCTTCTTTCCGGCGTGGACCCAGGAAACGCAGTATTGTCTCTATGCTTTCTGTGGGAGCTATTGAACACACAAGATGCAAGAGGTGAACCAGTCAGCGTAGCGTTTTCATTACCAGATATTACACCAGCTCCTGAAACACCGCTCATGATTTCTCAAATGAACAGAATGGTCGAAATGAATATATGAAGGCGTGTTTAAATGCAACACAGCCATGACCTGTTTAAATAGACCCCTCAAGGCAACTACGAGCAAAAAGGCTCAGCAAGCCTGAAATTTAACCCTGGAAAAATTATGCGCCTCCATGCTACAATAAAAGCAATTTAACCTTCATCAAAGCAAACGCTAGCTGTTAAGTTTATACCAACTTTACACAACCACGTACAGAAAAACCAGTGCACATTTTTACACAACAGGCTTATGATGATACCTCGGAACCGCTGCTTCTGGGGCGTTTAGCTTGTTTGTAAAGCCATTCGGCTGTTACAGCTACCGAAGCGAACCTTTCACGCAAATCACTACTCGATTCTGAGTGGTCGTGGTCCTTTTTTTGAATCAGGTCGCTCGCTGAGTAATATTTACGCTTTTTAGGCACTTCGATGTCTTCTGTTTCAGAAACGAAAGTTTTGCTGCTGCTGAGCAAGCGGACGGCATCAGCGACCTCTTCCTCTTCACCAGCTGCCTGTTCATCAGAATCATTCCTCTGAATCGGATCTGAGAACTCGATGTTCCTAAAGTACAAGCATTCGACGTCAGCCATAATTTAGAAATTCAGGCTGGTGAAGACAACGGTGTTGGAACTGTCACAGTCACTGTTTATATTGAACTACCATTTCGGCCCCTGAACCACTAAAATAATGAACAACGAATTGCTCTAACCAATGAAACAATAAAGAAAACATCGGTGCAGTGCAATAAGTAAAATACCACGGAATCATGACCTGCTAAAGTGATCACAGAAGCAAGGATGGAAGAAGTAACACCGCAAACCCATTAATGCCTCTGTTCCTTTGCTTGTTCTGGGATTGTGAATTGAAAATGGGCAGTATTTTGATCAAAAGAGCGTGATCCCGCGCGCAAGCAGTAAAAATGCGGTTCCTTCAGTAAAGACTGCTAGAGTAACGAAATTTAGAAGGCGGCAATCCAAGATACTCTCGCCAGAGAACCTGCTGATGCCAAAATTCGACAGAGTAAAATTGCGATGATTTTGATATGTATGTGAGCGAGAAGGCAGATGGGACAGATAAGATGTTCTCGTTTGATGACGCCACACAGAAAGTGAGCAAGAATGTATTTTTCCGAACACGGGTAGTCCTCGTCAGGCTCAGAACTGAAGGGTCGCAGGCCCGAACTTCGATTAGGTTGGTCGATTTTCTTCCTTCCATAGTTGATAAATGAGTACAGCCCTGTGGGAAAGAAAAAAGACTATACACTATGATTGTCACAGATATGCTGTTGACTCTGCTTTTCAAATGAGGCATTGCCTGCTAATGGTGTAGTATAGAGATCAGTGTCCCACCGTTAACTTCGTGTTTAGAAAGGCAGCAGAAATGACCTCATTATGAAAGTATAAATAAGACCGTCATTTCAACGATTATAGACATTCCTTTCCTTTATTCTGCTCGATTATGTCGCTCAATTCTTGCATGAACAGGCACCGTGTGAGCCATCAGTGTGATTTGGTTGAGCATCCATGCACAGCAAGTGTTCAGACATGGTTGAGCTGTGGCCTGCTTGCAGGGTTTCTAAAGGCTCTAAAAGCGAAAGGATGAAGTCACTTCATTATGAGTGATTCTATATGACAGCTGATTTCTGTCATACAACCCTAATTGGTTGTAAAGTATAAAGATTTTAGAAAAAAATAAAATGTCTAGACCGAGAAATAGTTAGTTTTGCATTGTTCTCGCTTACAATCCGATAGATAAAGTGAAACTTGTCAAGCTGGTGAAGGATAGAAGCCAGGGGTAAACTTTCAGAAGCTGGTGTTTACTGTGACCTGAAAGGAAGTGGTCTAAAAATGGAATGAGATGAATAAGGAAATGAATGAAAACCAACATAGAGTATTACTGTAAACACTGGGCACTGTTACTGATCCCTAATCAACATATTTCAAAATCACATGATAGAAATTTCTTACTCGCTCAAAATTTGGTTCAAACGCTTGCTCATGAAATTATACAAACTGTCATCTTCGCCTTCGTTAGAGGTCTCCCTAAAAACATAACATCTATTAAATAGAAAACGTTAATGACAGTTTTACATAGAATTTGCGACTTCGGCCGCAGACGAAGCAGACACAAACTCACGTGATTTGCGATTACTGCGTCGATCATGGTCATGAGATTTAGACGATTGGTTAGCTTCATCCGATGAACAACGCATAACGAACGGTAAACAGTTTCTGAAAAAGTGTAACCTGGTTTAAAAACACGACTAATTTCCGTTTCGAAAATCTGACTGCATACAAAACCGGAAAAATGGCAAAATTTATTTTTCTTTTGCAAACAACAATCAACGTAAAGCATTCAATAATCAGTCTGACTGCCTGCGTATAATATGACGAACCCAGCATCAATGCGAGCAGAAGTTCTTGCTTTAAAGAGTCGGCTGATTTACGATCGCGACGTTCAGGACAGCTCGAAACCAGTTTTACAGTGGATCGCATAACGAAGCTTGTCTCGAAGCGTAGCCTTCTTCCGGTAGATAGGCAGCTTCAGCAAATTAAAGCACGTAGAGGTGGTCGGCAAACGGCTAACAGGATCTTTTTTACGAATTGCCAGAAAACCGCGGACGACGCTCCCAAGGGTGTCTCCCTCATCCTAAAAAATCGAGGGATCAACATTTTTCAACCTCTGATCAACGAGTTAAATATACAATAATCTCTTGACGTACGTACAGTCAGAAAAGCCCAGTTGACAGAACATCGAATTAAATGGAATCAAAAGATGATAGGTTTGAGCAGAGAAAATAGCCGCTCATCCATTTTAAATATAACAATGGCTATCACTTCGTCGAAACGAAACTGGGATATGATCAATCTGCAGCTACAGCCTTGAAAGTTGCAAACATCATTATCTGAAAAGGCAAGAACTGCGACTGTAGCTCTACCATACGCTCCATAAACGAAAGCGTTATAAACGGGACCCAATAAAAAAGGATACGAGTGACTGACATCCCAAAGGTTACTAGATATTTTCCTTTTTTCAATTTCGTTTCGATGAATTCTTGATTAAGTAGAACAAAAAGATTACGGTTTAAAATCAAAGGTACTTTGAAATTTGAAACATTAATTCACTTTAAATCATATAATACAGAAAAGCTGAAACAAACATCGTTCCCTGTTTAACGTTATTGTACGTCGTGATAATGAACGGTATGATCGCTATCCGAAACGACGAATTCTGTACAAATTGTATACTGAATCAGGTGGCTCATAAACACTAATTTCGACAACTTCGTTCAAGATCACTGTTACTTTGAATTTTGTATCACTGAACCATTATAATAACTTTCGTGGATAATGTTATTTCAATTTACTGCATTATTTTACTCTGTTAGATGAGGCATCGCTTCGCGGTACGGAAAAAAATCACAGGAAAAGATTTACAGTGCCGTACGCACTGAACAAAACTCTGAGCAGGGGAAATCTCGCAGAGCAGTCACCCAGAACTCCATTCGGCCAGGGTGAAGGCAAACGGACATTCTGTTCATGACGCCTGGCAAGCGTAGCGCAAACCATCTGCCAAGATGGAATGAAAAGGACAAATAAAAATGGCCTCCAGTCTCCTACGTGCATTTCCAATCAGACTGCAGCAAACAACATCGCGTGACTGCGGGAATACCGATGAGCTTAAGCAGTACCGAACCTGTACCCAAGGAGCTGCAAGCGTCCAACTGGAATAGCCCCTCTCAGGGGAGACAATGAGCTAAACAAGACACATGGAAGCTTGTAGCGACAAACCACAGGATTCATTCAAACCTGGGCATCGAGACAAGGCATTAGTGATCTCCCTGCCCCCCCCCCCTATCCGTTAATTATGAAGAAAGATAAGTCATTTCATTTTCTCAGTAAAACCGAGACTTTTGGCCTTATAAGTAAGAGACAAAATGTCCTAAATTCAACAACAGGCCATAAAACAATAAAAAGAAAATAAAAATGCCATTAAGAATTTACGCGACGAAGTCGACAGCCTCACTGATCATAGTCCATTAAGAAATCGCATAAGTGGGCTCTCTACAGATCCGGTTTTGCATTTGTTGTTGCGGCAGCAATAAAATCATGGAGTCATGCAATGTTTAAACGGTAGCCCGGGCAATTAAGAGTGAACGGTGTGCCTACGCCGCGTAAATCTGGATAAGTGATGGACGATATTTATTCTTCTCATCCCTTTGAAAACTGGCAATTAGGTTGTAAACCCTTATTAGCGGAATTGATCATTATGTATACTGCAAAAATTACGTGGCCATTTTCAAGGCAGACTGAAATCGATAATAACTA